TGAAGAGAGTTTCACTGGCCAATATAAATCATTGAAAACATGAAATTCATAGTTCCATATTGATAAACGGTTGCTAATGAAAAAGGGAGGTCTCTTGCTTTGAGAAGAGTGCAGAGTGCTGACTAATAGATATGAAGGAAGTACTGAAGTTGGAATGTTATATTTTGCAACCATAGTAAAGATTGATTCAAGCAGAAGATATCAATCAATGTTAAATCTGTATGAAAATTTAGGTAAGTGGGACATATACATGGACATCAATTATTCTACATGTGATATTGTTAACATAAGTAGCTAAAGATTAATAAAGGAAGGGAGCAGCCCTGCTGGCATGGCTCAGTGGTTGAGCATCTACCTAGGAACCAGGAGGTTGCAGTTCAATTCCTGGTCACAGCACATGCCTGGGTTGTGGGCTCGATCCCCAGTGTTGAGTGTGCAGGAGGCAGCTGATCAATGATTCTCTCTCTTCATTGATGTTTCTTTCGCTCTCTCCCTCTCCCTCTCAGAAAAAAAAAAGTAAAAGAATAAAATAAAATAAAGGAAGGGAGCAAAGGAAATCAGACATTATTAAGCATAATCAACTAGGGAGCATAAAGCCCGCTTAACCAGGAAGCTACCGCTTCACAAACCCCAGGGGATTGCAGCATTTCCCTGCAACCTGTATAGGGAGGAAGAACTGACTTTTCAATCTCCCAGGTCCACTGGCTCAGAGAATAGGGGAAAGTGCTTCTATGAGGCATGAGGAGCCAAGATGGCAACCATAGAGGCCTGTTTGTCTAGCCTGGGAAAAGGATTGCATTGGATAAGGAACACAGAACCCCAGAAGATTTAGGAAATAGATTGGTTAGGGGGTGGATCCATCAGAAGTCCATGAAAGCTTGGGAAGTTGATTGGTTAACTTGAAGAAAAGCCTGGTCTTTCCCAAGCCCATCTATATATATAAAAGCCTAAGCGATCAAATGACCGAACAACCGGTCGCTATGATGCGCACTGACCACCAGGGGGCAGATGCTCAATGCAGGAGCTGCCCTCTGGTGGTCAGTGCGCTCCCACAGTGGGAGCGCCACTCAGCTGACCTATCCGTCCGGTGGTCCACCAGCTGGGTAGCAGCCACTCACTCCCTCAGTAGTCCTGCAGGTTCAATCTCCGGAGAATGGGCCAGGCACCCACAGACTGGTGCTGCCAGCACTATCTGCGGCTGCTGCTCTGCAAAGAAGAAACGATATAAAAGTGGCCACCAGGTGGCTTCCGACAACCGGCACAATGGATCCTGGATCCTGGATCCCGGGCCAGCAAGTGTGTCCCACCACCCACCCGAAGGGCCTATGGCATCCTGCCCCTGGCTCCCCTCCCCCCGCCCCCCTGCCTCTGGCGGGCGCCAGATGCAGGGCCCACAGCTGCCTGATGAGTTCTGCTGCAGCAGCGTGAGCCTCTCCAGATTGGGACTGACTGGGCGTGAGCCTGCAGCAGGCACAGTGGGGCTGGGATGAGCAAGAGTGGCAGGCAGGAGTGGCAGGCAGCATTAGACTGAGGGTTTTGGCCCCATCCCCACAGGCCAACCCAAGGGACCCCACCCATGCATGAATTCGTGCACCGGGCCTCTAGTGATAATATAATCACAACTTAACAAAGAATCTTTCTCCAAGAAACCAGAAACACCAATCAGAAAGGATATATGCATCCCTATGTTCATAGCAGCACAATTCACCATAGCTAAGATTTGGAAACAGCCTAAGTGCCCATCAGTAGATGAATGGATTAGAAAACTGTGGTACATCTACACAATGGAATACTATGCTGCTGTAAAAAAGAAGGCATTCTTACCATTTGCAATCGCATGGATGGAATTGGAGAGCATTATGCTAAGTGAAATAAGCCAGTCAATGAAAGAAAAATACCACATGATCTCACTCATTTATGGATAATAAAAACTATTATAAACTAATGAACAAAAATAGATACAGAGGCAGAGCAGCATCGAACAGACTGTGAAACTACAGCGGGAAGGCCGGGGAGGGTTGGGGGGCGGGGTAAGAGATCAACCGAAGGACTTGTATGCATGCATATAAGCATAACCAATGGATACAAGACACTGGGGGGTAGGGGAGGCAGGGGGAAGGTCAAGGGGAAAAAAAAATAGGAGACATATGTAATACTCTTTGTAATACTTTAAGCAATAAAACAAAATTTAAAAAAATAAACAAAAAACAAAGAAGCTTTCTCTCTGGTAACAGGCTTGCCAGGTTTGTTCACACACTGTCTCTGTAGCAGCCATGTGCCCTAGCAGCTGTGTGGCTCATAGCTGTGTGGACCTCAAGCAGTTTCCAAGCCCAGCCTGGGTACTGGATAGAGCAGCACCAGCCGGCCATAGCACAGCCAGGAACTGAACTAAACTTTGACATGGCACACAATCTCTAGACATTGGCCCTATTTCTGGGCTTAATGAAAACAAAATTGGATTTTTCCCAAGGTGGGACGGATGGAGAAGAGATATTAGAAACCTGGGAACAGCCTTCTATCTATGGTGATATATAACCTGAACAACATCTAAAGAGATTGGGCACACATTATTGCCTCAGTATTATTACTCCTTATAATGTGACTATTGGAATGTGACTATTAGGTTATTTTTTGAGATATCTTCAAATACTTAGCTCTTCTCTGTATGAGCCTAGCTAAACTCTGTTTTAGCTCTGTTCCAGATCTCTGTTCCAGAGTCCACTAATAACCAATGAGGTATATTGCCTTTTGATAGAAAATTGAGCCTGGTATGTTTTGGAGAGATGGTGCCAGTGTGCCTTCTAAAGCCTGTGGAAAACCATAGCCTTGCAGGTGACCCCTTTCTGGGTTTGGATCAACTCTTTTATTTTTTGTTTTGGAAATCATCTTAAACTTACGGTGAAATTATAAGAATAAGAAGAGTACAGAGATCACCTATATTCATCCTGATTTACCTATTGTCAATATTTTACCCTATATGTTAGCTGGCTGATATATTCTTAAATTTTAATTTTCCTTCCTTAACTCTGCAAGTCTCCCCCCTACCCCCATTTTGGTCATGTAATACGTTCTGGAGAGTCTTCAAAACTTGAGGAGGGTATATATAGGGTGTCCCAAAATTCACGCAAGAAGTAATTTTGATAGAAAACACAGGTTTATAATTAAAAATTGTAAATTTTTTATTGATTCATAAAGCATACAATATAGGGTTATGTATGGAATAGCACATCGGGTAAATGGCCTCCACGGCTTTGCTGGCACATACGCAAAGCCGTGGTCTTCATTGGTCTTCATTGTCCCTGCTCCTGGGCCGTAATTGGTACTTGGTAATGCTTATCGAATTGAAGGGATTGAAATCAAAGGGCAACAGATATTAGAATCTGATTCAATAAACCAAGTACAATTAGGCTTTTATTTTTTGTTGTTGTTGTTAATGCTCACGCAAAATTCAAATCTTGCGTGAATTTTGGGACGCCCTATACATTTGCTTCGTGAAGCCTGGATCTGTCTTGTCCCTATTTGTGGTTTCACCAGCAATATTAGAGTTGAGGCAGCCTAATTTATCTATGAAGAATAATATTGCAAATTTCTGTAGTGGTAGAAGAATTTGTGTGCATTCTGGTAGAAAGTACATGGTGTGGAGGGTGGAAGTTGTTAACCTAAATGTTTTCTGAAATTGTTGAGGTTGAAGATGTGGAGTGGAATTATATTGGAGCTAAAGAAGATAGGTGGTGTTCCTTGATTAAGTTCTATTTTGGAGGCAGAGCTACCAACTTACTATCACTTAACTATAGTTGAAGTCCGTAGAGATGTTAATAAAATTACCTAGGTTGGTAAATTTAGTACTACTTGGTCAGTTAATCTTTTTCTTGTTCCTCCCTATAGGAGATGTGCAAAAGAGTATAGGGCACCCTTTCCTGTTGGATCAGAATTCACGAAACTAAAGTCCTTTGTAAAATCTAGAACTTAGTGCTATCAGGATCTAAGACTTTCTCTATGCTTCAGGACTGCTGGAATTATCAGGCAGGCCTGGATTGTCAAGAATGTAAGACGCCCTCGTTTTCTTAGAGTAGGAAGATGTAAAAGAATTTTGTGATCACATAAACATAAATGGAAGTTCCAAAATTGGTATAAATACAAAAAATTAGACACATAAACACAAATATTAAACATTGCAGTGCTACAGCAAGCACTTAAAGAAAATTAAATGCCCTGTATTAGGATTAAGGTATGGGGTATCAGTTAGAATGTGGAATATTCATATCATTCACATCCATGGAATTGAATTGTATACATCCATTAAACATCATAACTCAGATTATCTGTAAACATGTAAAAGTGCTTGTGACATAATATGGAAAAATCAATACACATTTCCTGCACATGTGATTGTAACTAAAGCTACATATACTTATGAATAACATGATAGTAATAACTTATAGTAATGTTGTTATATAGCATTTTTGGTAGAACAGAAATTAACCACTTAAAAAAAATGAACTTTATTTTTTAGAGCTGTTTTAGGTTCATAGCAAAATTGATCAAAAGGCACGGAGAATTCTCATACACCCCTACATGTGTACAACCTCCCCCATTGTCAACATCCCCCACCAGAGTGATACGTTTGTTACAATTGATGAACTTTTAGTGAATCATCATTAACACCCAGAATTCATAGCCACTTTTAAAAAAATGAAGTTGTTTGAATTTTGAAATCTCTCCAGGGTTTATTGGTCAACAATCCAGAAATCTGTACGCAGGGAATCTTAGACACTCACTCCCTGACAGCTGCTAGAGGCTGAACGTTTATAAAAATTAAACCAATAGGGAAATTTATTCCAGTGAATCCCCTCCAGAAGACCTCTATCCCCAACCTATTTTGCCTTTTAACTCTTTATTTCCCTCTCACAGTCGTGACTGGGCTGTGCCTGTTTGCTTGTGATTGAGCATCTCTCTCTGCACTATTACATGTGGACTTGTCTTCTTCCATCTCCCTCTAGGCAGTACGTTTTCAACTGAGCACCTCAAGCTTCAACTCCAGAAGGAATCCCTAAATGAGTTGAGGAAAGAGTGTACTGCGAAAAGGTAAATGAAACTCTGAGAATAATTGTTGTGAGTGTCAAGTTTACTTTGAGGACAGGATTTGGAAAAGTAGGATTCTTTAAAAATTGCTGTTATTAATTTGTATTCCACACACCTCAGGGACATATTCTTTTATTCAACAAATATTTATTAAGCACTTACTATGTCTCATACACTGATAGAGGCAGTTATTAAAGCTCCTAGTATATACTCATAATCAGAAATGAGAACTGTTCTAGTTTTCAAGGCCATAGCACCATGACTTGATGTCTGAATCTTCTCCTCTTCCTGTCTTCAACATGTAGTAGAGTTGATAGTTTTTTCTTCAGTAATTTCTTTAGATTTACTGCTGTTTAATGTTAGCTCATTTGGATTACCTCAACAGCTCCTAGATGATCTCTCTAACATCATTCTCTCCGTCTTTCCAGTTTATCCTCCCCGTTGTTATCAGACCTCTCCTCTATTTTTACCATATATTTTTTCTTTTTTTAAGAGCTATGGTGATTGTTTTGCTTAACTTTCAAATAACCTTTAATAAATTGGTGCTATACAACTGTAGCTAATTTAGACACTCCACAACATTCACTTAACAAATGCTAATGCTTCTCTTTATTTTTTTCTAGCACATGCTCAGTTTGTTGCCTCCTCTATTCTTTTGCTCATCCTTACTCATTTGTGTGTTTTTTTTAGGAAAGTAATTTCATCCTGCATTTTTCTTTAAAAAACCTTAGCAATTGAAGACTTGAGCATGTTAGACCCAGAAAGAACCTTGGATTTCACCTAGTCTATTCCTCTCAGTTAGCAGATAGGAAAGCAAGGCTCTTGGGAGTTACTCTTTGTCCAACTCACTAGGAAAGTAGAATTAGATCCTCTATGTCTTCAGTGATGTTTGCATTATACAACTACGTTTACGTTTCATTTTGACCGACAGCTTCTCCTAAATGCTTTTTTCCCCTTACATTCTTAATACAGTTGAGCAGGTATTTGTACTGTAGGTGTTTCATCAGTTGTTTATGTTTCTTGAGCAGTTCAAAAGAAGAGCTGCATCATCTCATGCTGCAGTTTTTGCTTGTTTGTTCTTTTTCTGAAATTATTTTCCTAACCTGGCAGCAGTTTTTTTGAGGTAGTTGTAACATGTAGTTGTAAGTGAAAAATAAAATATTTTTTTAAGGAACTACTAGATGGATATATCCTGAAATCATATTAAATGAGATGGTGGTTGCCTTATAGGTCCTCTTTAAACCTTGTTTCCTTGTTATAAAATGGATATAATAATATTAACCTAATAGCGTTGTTATAATAATTAAATAAAGCACTTTGTAAAGCTCCTGGCATATAGTAGTAGGTGCTCGGTCAATGATGATTTATACCCTTTACATCCCTTAAAGCAGGGGTCCTCAAACTTTTTAAACAGGGGGCCAGTTCACTGTCCCTCAGACCGTTGGAGGGCCGGACTATAGTTTAAAAAAAAACTATGAACAAATTCCTATGCACACTGCACATATCTTATTTTGAAGTAAAAAAACAAAACGGGAACAAATACAATATTTGTATTTGCATGTGGCCCGCGGGCCATAGTTTGAGGTCCCCTGCCTTAAAGGGTATACACATATACTAGGCCTCAGTATGTATAGAGTTGGCTTGGTTGATAGTAGTTAGAGATAGGTAAGGATGTATGTTAGATATTATTCTTGCTTCTACTGCTAAGTTTCTGTGGCCTAGTCTACTAGTAGACCATGCAATCTTTTTCTGTGTCAGTTATGTGGAAATAAATGTTTGAAAGCCTGTAAGCATTTTTTTTTTTAACAAATGTACTTTTTTTCTTCTCCTTAGAGAACTTTTTCTGAAGACTAATGCTCAGTTGACAATTCGTTGCAGGCAGTTACTATCTGAGCTTTCCTACATTTACCCAATTGATTTGGTAAGTTTCAAATTCTCTGAAAAAATGTTTTGTTTTAAAAGATGATTTCTGTTTGAAATTTCCTCTCAATGAAAAAACCCATTGCTCTAGTCTTAGTCATATGCTCTGTCATGATTTCATTCAGGAGCTAATATCCATTTCAAAAATAGATTTAGATTTGGTCGGCATTAAGTTCCACCATTAATTTTTCATACCAGTTTGTTGGAGGGATGTGCTCATCTTCGTCTGAAAGAATACCAAAATCTTTAGGATCTTTTCACTCAAACACATTATCAGCTACCACCATTTCTTTTTTTTAAATATATTTTTACTGATTTTTAGAGGAAGGGAGAGGGATAGAGAGATAGAAACATTGATGAGAGAGAAACATCAATTGGCTGTCTCCTGCACCCCCCCTACTGGGTATGAAGCCCCCTGTTTGGGCATATGTCCTGACCAGGAATCGAACCAGTGATCTCTTGGTTCATGAGTGGATACTCAACCACTAAGCTGCACTGGCCAGGCTCAACTACCACCATTTCTGATACATACATGCTGACACAGTACATGTGTCTCCTTAAAGAATATAATTACTAGTTAATTTATATTTATTAGTATTATTTCAGATATTCCTGCCAGACTGTTAAGTTCTTTAATCTAGTTTCTTGGAGTAAATGCAAAAAGTAAAACTTTATTAAACCTGACTAGATTCTTTTTAGAGAACCATATCTGCTAAATTTGATGTGTTTTTTGAATGAAGACTAATTTTTCATTTAAAAGACTAATATTTTGAGAGGAAAGTTAATAGGATTTAGGTTGCTCATAAATCTTATTAATTCTATTTGAGATTTTTCATTTATAGCTATGAATTGGGCAAAGGATAGTTTTATGATAAAATTTTTATATGGCTTTTTGCTTCGACCTGATGTTTTAAATGTTTATATTATAGAAAATTTCAAGTATATAAATATATAGTGGTATAATGAATCATCATGTACTAATCACCCAGCTTCAACAATTATGATAATATTTTAAGTCTAGGACAATATTGTCTTTGAATTAACACTGACTTGTTGAATTCTTGGAGATTTGATTTTAGAGTTACTTTGCTTTATACGTAAAAACAGTTAATTTCATTCTTTGGTTGTATTCACAGAATGAGCATAAGGATTATTTTGTATGTGGTGTCAAATTGCCCAATTCTGAGGACTTCCAAGGTATTTTATTTCTTTTACTTCTAAGTATTTGCTGTGTATAGGATATGAGTACGTTGCAGGGAAAAATAGAGATATCTTAAAATGTTGTTGCCTAGCCTTTCACCAGACAGTCTTGGACCTTTTGTCCCTTCCCAATTGTAAGTATATAGATTCAGATTCCCTGATAGACTTAAAAGGCCATTTGGTCTAATCATGGGAAAAAAAATAGTTGCACATTATATTTGAAACTTAAAAGAAAATATTTTTTAAAGGGCTTTAAGAAAATTAGACAGTGGGGTACGTAAGAATACTTATATCCTCCCTATTCTTTTGCTTTTATTTTCATGACAAATTTGTATGTGGTTGGGAGCAGAGAATAACAAACATTAATCTGTTGTTATTTAGAAAATCATATTTCTGTTGATGTGAAATGTATTTGGAAATTTAATTTTTTTACATTCCCACTATAACACGTTAAAGTTGTTCTGTCATTTCTGTTTTCTTTTAATTAAAAAATTTATATTAAAGATGATATATACTATGATTCATAGTAATTGCTGATTTTAAAATATTTAATTTTCCTATTCTCTTTACCAGTAGGCCAAAGAAAAGAACTTGGCAATAAAATATTTTTTTATTGTTAGCAAAGTAGCATTTCCCCCCTAGTCTACACAGTGCTTTAGGCCTGTTAAATAGCTTTATAAATTATTTTCAAAGCTAGCATATTATCTATTTGGGAAGAAGTTATTAAATATAGAGCATTACCAGTTTTGGTTGGGATGTCCTTCCATTTCCCTATAAAGGAAATGTTGTTATGTATGGTCCTTTAACATTTAAGACTATTTTAATTTATTACCTCTATTGGCCTTTACAGCAACCCTTACAACAAGTAGTTGGGACATGATAAAAGAAGAGTGATAAAACAGGAATGGAAAAATCTGTATTCAATCCTTGTTCACTTTCTAGAAACCATGTAATTTGGAGCAAGCCATCTAAGCTTTGAGTTGATTTCCTAATTGATAGTATGAACATATTAATTCATGTTGTGAGATTATATCTATAAAAGCATGATATTTTGCCTTATCTTTAATCTTTACAAAAACAAACATAGGAAACCCATAAGGAAGGTGGTACAGTCTCATTTACAGTGTGTAAATGAGCTATTCAGTGATTTGCCAGAGACCACAAAGCTAGGTAATAATCTAGCTGGGATTTGCCTGGTTTTCATTGTACAGTGTTCCTTCCAATTTCTGTAAGTCATACAAATGTGCTTTCGTGTTGATTTTAGGCAAAGTTATGGTGTCTTAAAGCCCATGACACATCTTTTTCCTCATTCATCTATTTACAAAGCTACTGAGTACCTTGAGCCCTGTGACAGGTTCCAGGGATACAGAACATTCATTTATTGAAAAAATATTAATTCAACTCAGGTACTGTGCTGAGTTTTGAGGATATGATGATAGAAAAATATGTTCTCTCCTTTCATGGAGCATACACAGCCTATTGAGCTAATAAATAAGAAAATAAGTATGTAACAAGTATTTAGTAAAGGAATATGCTATCTTAGACAATAAAGGAACCTACGTTAGATAAAGCAGAGAACAGCTCTCTGAGGAGAAGCATTTAACAGAAAATTTGAAGCTGAAAGGAGTCAACTATATTACAGTTGGGGAGAGCATTACTTAGAAGAGGGGCAGCAAGTACAAAGGTCAGGATGCAGTAATGGGCTTGATATATCTAAAAAAAACTCAGGGTGAGGGGATTG